AGCGCCCGCCAGCCAGAGCCGCCCCGGCCTCCCACACCTCCTGGCCCCACCCTGCCCCAGCTGGGCAAGCAGCAGCAGGGCATGGGGAGGGCGTGTACCCGCGGATGTGCATGGGGCGGGCAGGGCTGGGGCTGCACCAGGCTGCACTCTGGATGGGCAGTGGGGGCTATGCAGCAGCACCCCCCCATAACCCCCAGTCTGCCGCTCGGCCTGCCCAATCCAGGGGCATAGTCCCGCTCCCCATGCCCTGCTGCTGCTGCCGCTGCTGCTCACCCAGCCGGGGTGGGGTGGGGCAAAGCCGCTGCTTGTCCAGGAGGCGTGGGGAGGCCAGGGTGGCTCTGGCCACTGTGCACCACTTGTCAGTAGGCAATGCAGCGGCTCTGCCCCAGCCCCTGTCCTAGCCCCAGCCCCAGCCCCAATCCCTCCCTCACTGCGGGGGCATTGATCTGCCCCCCAACTACAACAGACTTACCACCTAGAGGCAGCTGTGTCAAGCATGTAAAGGAACCAAGGCCCCATTTATAACATTGTTCCTCTAGGAAAACTGGTTCCAAGTTACAGGTAGCCCTCAGACTTATGATGCAATTGGTTCCTGAAAACCATGTCTTAAGTCAAAACATTGCTTCACCCCACCCTGCCCTGGCTGGGTGAGGGGCAGCAGCAGGGAATGGGGGGAGTGTGCCTCCGGATTGGGGTGGGTAGCAGAGTGGGGATTATGGGGGGGCTGCAGTCACCCTAAAATTCCCCATAGCCCCCGCCGCCTGCCCAGAGCACAGCCCGGTCCAGCCCCAGCCCCGCCCACCCCACGCAGATCTAGGGACACACCCCTCCCCCCATGCCCTGCCGCTATGTGCCCAGCTGGGGTGGGGCAGGGCAGGGCAGGGCTAGGAGGCATGGGGAGGCCCAGATGGCTCCAGCCAATATGCACCACTTGTCCGGAGGCAGCGCAGTGTCTCTGCCCTGCCCCAGCTCAGTGAGTGGCAAGAGGGCATAGCCCCCACTCCCAGCACCTTCCACTGCCAGCCTGGAGCGCAGCCTGGAGCAGCCTTGGCCCAGTCCACTCCACACAGATCTAGGGGCACATGCCCCCCCTTGCCCTCCCAGACTGGCAGCACACAGCAGAGGGAGCCACCCCACCCCCTCCCTGTGTCCCCCTGCCCACAGGGCAGCCCCTGTCCCAGTCCCAATTCCTCCCTCACTGGGGGGACATTGATCTGCCCCCCTGCCATGACCCACCACAACAGACATACCAGCTGGAAGCATCTGTGTCCAGTGTCGTAAAGTCAAATCCCCATCAGAACCTCAAAACCGTGTTGTAATTTACAAAGGTTGTAACTCAAACAGTCGTAAGTTGAGGACTGCCTGTAAAATGTTTTGACTTAAGACATGGTTTTCAGGAACCAATTGCATTGTAAGTCTGAGCACTGCCTGTACAGCACAGTTAATAGCAGTTCAAGTTTCTTTACAGTGACCCACTAATCATGTCTCTCTATCCATCCTTGGGGAGCACCTCTACATGAGAAAGTTTAGTTAGTTTTCCCTGCCAGCTCAGTAGCTGTGCTCTAAACTGACACTTTCTATGAAGGTCAGGCTTATGCTGGGTAGATCTTGCTGGTTATTTGCAACCAATTTCTAAGCAAGTTGCCACAAAAGATCTATTGCAATCAGATTAAATGCATTACTATCTTATAGTGGAAGACCCAGCCAAACATCTAAATGTTTCCTTCATTCACGCACTGTAACCAGGTCAGGCAACCGTGATCCCAAAAGATCTGTCAAAGGAATAAGCCAGCAGCATCGGTACTCCTTTGGATCATGGTATCACCTGTTTCCTTTGAAGAGACTCATAACTTACATATTATACTATTTCATAGGGGCACAGTTCTTGTATCATTTGGCACTTGACCACTGTCCCTACACAGCAATCTGAAACAAGGTAAACCAGACCCTTCAAAGCATAGTTTTCTCCTGAGGTGCTGGTGCTGTGGATGCCCAGTTAGGGCAGAATACAAGAAGGTCACTTTTCAATTACATTTATTTAGGTCTGTACTTTTAACTTGCATGATTCTTAGTTACAGTCCTTTCTCACCATCCAACAAAGTAAGCTGCTGCTTACGAAAGCTTATGCATCTCTGATTTAGGTAGCCTATAAGGTACAAATCTACCCTGCCTTCCGTCTGTTACAGCAACATCTCCTTCAACATAATTAGCATATTAAATAAAACTGAGGTGCTCCAGGCAGCAAAGGGAGCGTGATGGGGTCTGTAAATCCCATGCGGCAGGGAAAAAGTTAAGAAAAGCCCTGGCGAAACTAGAGTCTTGCGGCAGCCAGTCTCCAGACTAACCAATCAAGAGGCAAGTGCAGCATGCAGCAGAAGAAATTAAGCAAACCTGAGCAATCTAAGACACATCTAAGGCAAAGAATGACCCTGAAGCTTAGAGAGAGCTCTGACACTAAGAGGAGCTCTAGGAAGGGAGCTCTGGGTCTAAGATAAATTCTGAAAACTAAGTAGTGGTGTAGTGAGGGGGACAGAAATGGGGGCCCTGAACATTCACAGGGGCAGGGGAAAGAAGGGGGGAACCCCAGAGGCAGGGAGGACAAGGGTTCTCCAGTCCCCCCTGCCCCTGGGGCTCCCCCTTGGGGTGCAGGGGCTCCCAGAAGTTGTGGGGAGGCAGGAGTACATGGAGAGAGCCCAGAAAGGGAGCAGAGGCAAGGTGATTCTTACCTTATCTCTACCAGCTGCCCCCCAGCTGTGGGGGAGGAAAAAGCAGCTGGGACCAGTGCCTCCTGGGATTCCTGAGGACTACTCCCAACTACTCTTAGACATATGACTGTAACACAAGCTGCCTGAAACCAGTTAGAGATAATTATAGATTTATAGATTCATAGAAGTAGGGTTGGAAGGGACCTTGTAGATCATCAAGTCCAACCCCCTGCCCCGGAGAGGAGAGAAAACTGGGCTCACATGACCCCAGCCAGGTAGACGTCAAGCCTCCTCCTAAAGACCCCCAGGGTAGAAGCCAGCACCACTTCCCTTGGAATCCTTGATGGAAAAGAATTATCTTCAAGCCATTCAGAGCATCCTCAGTTCATGTTTTGCATCCTCAGGTCATGTTTTCTTGCCCTAATATGTGGACATTCCTGTTTTAAGATCCCTTAACACATATTTAAGGTAATTTATAACAACACCCTAACTGAGGGTAATCAACATGTACTAGAGGTAGCCACTATATGATAGGGGGACAGACAAGAATGAAGTTGGCTGGAAAAACTTAATTTCAGGATCCTGGGCTGGGACTCCATAGAGTGGAAAGGCCTGAGTCCTCCTACCAAGCCAGTGAAGAGAATTCATAATATTCATCTGTTCCAGGATTAAGCAAACTAACTGACTTAGGATGGAAACAGATGCTGCTTGGTTTGCTTTTATGGAGCAAAAGTGCAGGCAGCCCAGAGCTGCCCGTGCTCTTCTGGCACCCCAGGCAAGCACTCCCATAACTTACGAGGCCTAATCCTGCACACCAGAGGAACTCCCATGCAGGACCTGGCCCCTCAAGCTCCAGAAGAACCTACTAGGCTAGGCTTTCCCCTCTTACAGAGACATGTCCCAGGCAAACTCTGGGGGAAAGTTTGTAAGTAGGGAACCCCACCTTTCCTCACTTATAAAGATGCATCTCTGTAAGCAAGAAAGCCAAGATACTGTGCTTAGAGAAGCGCTCTGGGGAATTTCCAAGGTGCGACTGAAAGCGGGGACCATGTCGCCCGTTTTCCCACAGGTTTGGGCCCCTATCTGATGTAAGACAACAGTCAAACACAATGTTTCACCCAATTCAGTGGATCAGTTGTGGTTGGACACATCTGCTCAGCTGAATGATATTGGAATGCAAACAGTACTAACTTCAACCAAAAAAATTTGGTCAAAAACTTGGAGAAAAAATCTTGGAGATAATTGGGAACGCTGGTCAGGGAAAATTCTCAAAAAAACAAAAAGAGATAAATCCATACTGTTCTCTGACCCATTCCAGAGTGAATTCAAACACACACTGTGAACCTATACCACCGTGAATAAAATTACAAAAACACATAATTTTCAAATATCTGCAAACATTTTGCTTTTGGGAACAATATTCTGGACCTTATTTGCAAAATGAAAGCAAATTTCAATTCTACACATTAAATGCTACTGGCTCATATCAAAAGTATAGCCATTTTTGAGCTTCACTAGATTATTTGAATATTCTCACATCAAAACATGTCTTCAGTAGGCTGTAACCGAAGTACAGGATAACATCTACTCTTCTTTCCTTCCTCAGCAATGGTGGGCAACTGGTATTAATGAAATCGGTGGCATCAACCAGACATAATTCCTCTTCCAGAGGTGTAAGATGATTCGGAGGCACATCTGCTTGAACATCTGGTCATTAGCAAATATTTGATATATGTAAGTATATATAGAACATTTCTATAAACACAGATAAAAACAAAAGGATCTCCCAGGTGCAACTCTGATTCAGTATATTTAAGGTATGTCGTTATCCTGACTATAGACAGCTTCTTTCTTCTTGAATTTACAAAGAATTTAGCCTTCATGTTCTTTTGAAATGTGATGCATATATCTGCAGAAAGGGTCAACATAATGCCTATGCACAGCTTAAATACCATAGAAGAATCAAACTTGAGCTTATAAGAAATTTAAAAGGTGCACACACCTGCATTTCTGCCTAAAGATAAATTTCATACCCTATCCTTGTATGTCCCATAGAGCTCCACCAATGACCTCACAACTCAATTTGTAAAAATGATCCTATTCTAGGGACAAAGGAAAACTTAGTCTCTTTAGTAATTCAGAGCTCAGTTTAGACTCCTTGGATACTCATTTAATAGTGCGCATGAGCAGTCCCATTAAACGGAATATATGCTGTGCAGTCTGACTCTGACTCAGTCTATGGGATAAGCAAAAAAGGGATCAGCAAGGTACATGAGGGAATCCTGGCATTAAAAGTATTTTGTTCTGGAGAGCTACTCCCCACTTAAATCATGTATGTGTCAACAGCTCTTGACTCTAACAAAGAGAAACCACAACTCTTTTGGAAAGTTTATGCCACCTGAAATCATACTTGTTTAAGAATGAATGGGATGAAAGATATGGCAGTTTTCCAGAACAGTTACTTTGGCTGCTTGTAGATGGGTTGCGGGAGGGAAGCAGTGCTTTACTTTAAATTTAGCGTGCTCCTGTGCCAAGCCCAGCACACACCCTGAAGAGGCAGAGTGTTAGTTGCATCCAACTTCCCCAACATCTGTAAAAATCAGGCACCTTAGTGGGGCTTTTTTGGTGCATTTATGTAATAACTGATTGAATCCACTTTAGATAAAAGTGCTAAAAAGCCCTGCTGAAGCATTTGATCTATACAGGCACTGTGAAGCTGGGTCAAAGTAATGCACTGCTGCTTCCAGTAAAGTGCGTTTTTGTCCACGTGTCAGCGCCCTTTGTTACCAGAGTATCCATCATCAAGTCCAAACTAGTCTATTTACTTCTACAAGCTTATGTGTATGGTGAGGGGTACAGAGACTACGTGGGCCTTGTAACCACACACATTTCATCAAGTGCCATCCATCCTAACTTGTCAGCCCTTCTGTTTAAGATTGGTTTCACATTTGCCCATAAAATCTGATCAGATCTCCCCCATGAAGTCATTTACCATTCCATGTAGAAAATTCCTCATGCTGGTCATAGTCTTTGTGGAACTGAAGACCTTTCAAGAAGTTAGGGGTCCGTTCATCTGCTGGGCGACTGGTCAAAATCTCATTGACAATGTGTGAGACCTCATCAGGTGGGCTGAAACAAAAAGTCTTCTGAGCCGAGAAAGGCTGTGTAGACAGACTTTTGTTTTTCTCTAGAATAGAAGGGAAAAAGCAATTTGATAGTGTCAAGGACTCTGATCAGGCAGACTAGCCTTGGCTAAGTCCAGGCCGGGACTCTGAATAGGCAGGCCAGCCTGGACTAAGTACCTCAGTAGCCACACCTGCAGCAAGCCTCACCTAATGAACTGTGCCCTAGTTTAGGAACAGCAAGCACCCTCATTGCCTGCTGGGAGCACCACCTAGCCATTTAGCACCAGCTGTGGCAAGCCTCCTAGTTCCTGACCCTGGTTTTCAGCTTATATCTAGACTTCGGCTCTGCATTTCCCTGAGGTTCTGTTTTCTGGCTGCTGGCCCCAGTTTAACTCTGTTTTTGGACTTTGCTCTGTGGATTGCCCCTCAGATTGGTACTTGGCATCTGAACCCTGCATCTTGACCCTGGACTATGTTGTGGACATTGCTTCTGGATTTCCCTCAGGTTTCTGTACATGGCTCCTGCCCTTGACTCAGCCCCAGGCCCTGCTTTCACTTGGTGACCTAACCATTATGACAGACTACTCATGTCCCAGTCCTTACAGATAGTGAACTAAATTCTGTTTTCAATGGCCTATTATGAATATCTTGATTCCTCTGATCAGTAAAATCTACCCAGCAGAAGCCTGGCCAAGGACCAGCTGTCAAACTGGTTCAAACTGAAAGGTCTTCGGTGATGATGATCAGCAGGTATGGGCTGAGGGTAGGCCTAAGAGAAACCTTAACTAGCAGTGTAGACAGCCTTAGTGTCATTGCTTCCCCACAGTGCTGAGTCATTATTTACTCTTTGAAGTAAGAGTGGAGGGAACTTTTGGTAGAGACAGCTTTCACATGGCAGATGAATTCTGGGCCAATGCGAGTAACAAGTGGCCTAAAGATATAAAGACTCCATTCTTATTTTGTACATTTAAATTTGAGAAAAGTCACTTCTTCCCAGTGAAAGATGTCTAAACCTTTATCACCAGCACGAAAGAGCCAGTAATAATTACAGAACTGTGGTAAGCAAGGAGCAGAGTCCTTGTCCACGAATAGGAATCAATCCCCAGCCCCTCGATTCATCCTTCTAGATGTAGAAACTGCCACTGTATTTTTAACAGGATGAATACGGAAGCATCTTACCTACCTATGTAAACCATCTCCAACATAACACCTCCCTTCACCAGCTCTAAAAAGACAAACTCTAGAGAGACATTTATCTTGGGAAATCAAATGAGTTTTACCTTAAATTTTCTTTCAACACAACTCTCTCCCATTAATACAAATAAAATGGATAGTATAAAATCCCTATTACCATCCTCTTGCTTCCATTCTGGGTACAAGCTGGTGACAACATTCCAGACATCCAGCAGATTCACAGAAAAGATGTTACTCCACACTGCTGTAAATACAGGCACATTGGGGACTGAGAATCTGCTAATTAGATCAAAACCTACCAGTCATTTCTTTGGCTTTCCTCTTAGCCTGGTTCATTAGAATAAGATAGTCATCCAGGTGGTAATAAGGGAAGCAGGAACCAAATTTGCTTGATTTTTCAAACACCTGGGGCTCAAAATTCAGCTCAAATTTCACGTTACCAGATTAGTATTTCTCTTATGAGAAACACTAAAAAAAAAAACTGGGGGAGTCAAGGGCAGGGAAAGCTCATTAAAGTCCAACAGGTTAAAATGGAAATGAATTAAAAAAGAGAGAGAGAGACTAATACAAAAGAGATAAAAAATCTAGGCCCAGATTTCCTGTTGTACCACATTTCTCCTCAAGCCAGGAGGGGAAGAGTTTGGTGGGTGATCAGAAAGCTGGTGACAAGTCTCTGATTCTGATGGGTGATGTTTGTTGGTCCAAGGCCTGGAGTAGGTTAAAGATTCCTGGAGTTGCTGCAGAATTGTTACCACGCCACGCAGAACTCTGCTAGCACTGGAGCAGGCCAACATTTTTTTTCATTGAAACATTGTTTAGGGAAAAAAAGACTTTTTGACAAAACAGAACTTTTTGCAAGCATCTAAAAATCTGTTTTCTTCAGTCTTTGCTTTTGGTCCAAAATCGGAGATAATTTTGGTTTTGAGCCATTATAAGCTTTTTTAAAACTTGGAATTTACCATTTTAAATTACTTTACTACAAATTTGAAAAATATGAAAAGTTTCATAAGAAAAAATATTTGCTAATCATCTCTCTGTGGGATCCTGCCACGGGGTATGCAGGACCTCAGTAGCATAGGCCACGCTGTCTTTGTGTGTCCAACTGTTCCTCAGAAGTTTGAGGGTTCCTCTATTGTAATAACTTTACCTTCCAAGTAACAGATCCTTGATTCTGGAATCCTGTTCATCAGGCGTCCCATGAAGAAATGACTACCAAAATCTTCTGAGCGAATGAAGGCTCCATATTTCAGAAATCCCACCTCAAAAGGAGAAAATTCACACCATTCTATAACAGAACAAGATGTCAGGAATTGAGATGTGTGCAGTCACTAGTCAAGTTATGACTATGGTAAGCTGGCTAAGAACTCGTAAACATGTTTTGCAATGTATGCACCTGATAAACCAGCCCTTTTTTATACTGTGCTAATTAAGCCACAGAATATCTTAACTGTGTTTATTCAAAACATATGCAGAATTTGTCAGCCTCAGCTCTGTATTTCTTCCTCAGTCCAGGAAATGAAGGTACACTGAGGCTGATGTCCAATAGCATAACTTACAGGGGGCGACTAGGGCAGCAGCCCCAGGCATTGCCTTTGCAGGGTAGGGTGCAAAAACAGCTGCCACTTCCCTCAGCATGATGGCACCCAATGCTGCATCACCACTGCCCAAGGTGCAGAACTGCCCTGCTATTCCTCTGCTGAGGTCTAGTAGTAGTCCAGAACTATGGCCTGTTGGGAGATATTTTGGGGAAGCCCAGGACCATAGATGAAGCAAGACTGTAGGAAGATTTGTAATGAATTTGTTTTATTACTGGAAGGAGTTAGGAATGGAACCTGGCATTGGAACAATCAGGAAAAGGCCATGACAAATTAAGAAAAATAAAATATCTCTCCTCCCAAGTCAGAAGTTCATAGGAAGTTCATAGATGTTAGGGTCGGAAGGGACCTCAATAGATCATTGTGTCCGACCCCCTGCATAGGCAGGAATGAGTGCTGGGTTTAGATGACCCCAGCTAGATGCTTATCTAACCTCCTCTTGAAGGCCCCCAGGGTAGGGGAGAGCACCACCTCCCTTGGGAGCCCGTTCCAGACCTTGGCCACTCTAACTGTGAAGAAGTTCTTCCTAATGTCCAGTCTAAACCTGCTCTCTGCTAGCTTGTGGCCATTATTTCTTGTAACCCCCGGGGGCGCCTTGGTGAATAAATCCTCACCAATTCCCTTCTGTGCCCCCGTGATGAACTTATAGGCAGCCACAAGGTCGCCTCTCAACCTTCTCTTGCGGAGGCTGAAAAGGTCCAGATTCTCTAGTCTCTCCTCGTAGGGCTTGGTCTGCAGGCCCTTAACCATATGAGTGGCCCTTCTCTGGACCTTCTCCAGGAAGAGGCAGATAATTTCACATGGGAAGGGTAGGTGCAGAAAAGTAAGTGTTTCTTCACATATTCAATATGTGTCTCCTTTACATAGAAAGGTAAAATACCCCTATTTGAACATTTACCTTTAAATGCAAAACTGCTCTGCATGTCCTTTTTGACACTGAGGGCCAGATAGAAAGGCAAGGGGTTTTGCCCCTGATTCACAGCCTGGCGCTGATTGGAGAGTGTGCTGTTATTTAGCTAATCAAAAGAAAAAACAAATGTAAGAAAATGGCAGTGAGAAAAAAATCACAGTGAAGCAAAATAAGATTGCCTCTTTGTATGTCTGATGGCAGTACCATAAACTAAAACAAAATTAATAGCAGAGCAGCAGTGTTACATAACATGGGTATTTTTAGAATATTTGGTATTTCATGTTCTGACCAATGAGGTATCCTTAGACAAAGACTGCAGCTAATTTAAAATGAAACTTCTTTAATGTCAGAAGTAGCTGCTCATACCAACCAATGCAGCACTCACCTTTTGTATATAAAATGAATCAAACTGATCTATGGCAGGGGTGACCAATCTGTGGCATATGAGCCACAAGTGGCACAGGCAGCCTGTGTGTGTACCATGAAGCAGACTAGGGTTGGGACAGGCAGCACAGAGGCAGAAAGGGCAGACAGCAGAGCAGCAGTTGTGTAGGGAGCATGGGGCAAGGAGCAGAAAACAAAGCAGCAGATCAGGAAATAAGCACAGGGCAGTTAGCACAAAGCAGAGCAGCAGATGGGGATTGGAATGGCACTTGGGGAGGGTGTGGGGCTAATCTGCAGCATTCTTGCCAAAAAGTTGGCCCCTAGTAAAAGTAGGTTTAAAGTAGGTTTCATTCCTCTGTCTGAGAGACTTCTCTGAATGCCAATTTCCAGGCATAACTCTCTAGTAATAACCAATGCCCCTGGAAGAGTGCTGAAAATAAACAGGACAGCTGGCTGCCCTAAGTACTGGCTGTGCTTATTCATCCTTGTTATTCAAATAGACAAGGTTCTTTGGGTAAATCTGATATCTTTTATTAGACCAACTCAAATAGTTGGAAAAATTCTTTTTTGCAAGCTTTCGGGTATAAATACCCTTCATCGAGCTGCGGAAGCATCTGCAGTTGGCATGTGCTCTTCCTGGATGGAATGAATAGTCAAAAAGCCAGAGGCTGGTCTGGATGCAAGAAAGCCAGTCAGTGAAGATGTAAATTGAAGAGTCAGTGAGTGAGAGATAGGTTGGGGGGTGGGAGGAATTAATGTCGCTGGTAAATAGTTTAGAGGTACTGGGGGAGTCAGATGTTAGGTAGGTTATGTCATAAATCCAATGTCTATATTTAGTCCGTGATTTTTTGTATCCAATAGGTTGACAAAGTAAAGTTTATAGGCTTGTCTGTGAAAGGTATTTTGTAAATTCCCTTTGAGGATTAGAACTGAGAGGTTGATATGAGAGTGGTTTTCTTGTGAGAAATGTTATTTCCTTGTTATTAAGGCACTGGGGTGATTTCCTAGGTTTCACAGTTCATGGCCTTTGACTAGATGAGACAGTGATGTTCTTACCCTGTTGTAAAGATGCCAGCCTTTTAACAGGCTGGTACAACTGTAACGGTGTTGGTTATAGACAACTGACTGTGAGCAGTTGCTGAGGAACAGGGCCCCAAGGAGCTTAATAGGGTTGTCTCACAGTTATCCCTCTTCTTGTTGATTTATTAACAAAGGTCTATCCTGTTCTTGAAGGCTGATTATGGTTC